GAATTCTAAGAGCTGTTTACACATGGGCCCAGATTTGAGTAGCTGAGTTTAGATATATTTTTAACAATGTTGATTGCACACTAATATTTCTAAAACCTGATATTTTGAGGAATATTTTATTCAGTAGGAAAAATGTGCTTTAAAATATTTTTAATGACTCAAGTAAGACTATTTAGTAAATGAGTAAAAGAGCATGCTATATTGTTTATCAAATGTCCTTTCACCAAAAGGGAACCCTAAATAAACTATGATCTGTGAATAATGACTACACATCCAAGTAGGGTCATTGATTGTAACAAATCACCACTCTGTTGGGGGAAACTGATGGTAGGCAAGGTTGTAGGTGTATGGGAGCTCTGATTTCCTGTGAACCTGAAACTCCCTTTAAATACAGTCTATTGGGATGCCTGGGTGGCTCAGTGGTTGAGTCTGCCTTCGGCCCTGGATGTGATCCTGGGTCCCGGGGAGAGAGCCTGCTTCTCTCTCTGCCTATGTCTCTGCCTCTCTCATAAATAAATACATAAAATTAAAAAAAAAAAAGGTCTACCGAAAGTAAAATAAAAATGACAACCTACAGAATGAGAAAAATATATTTGCAAGTCATATATTTGATAAGAGCTTTTCAGATCTAAAATATATAAAAAACTCCTATAACTCAACAACAAAAGACAAACCATCCACTAAAGAGATGGGGAAAGGATTTCCATAGACATTTCTCCTAAAAAGTATACAAACAGTAAGTGCAAGAAAAGATGCTTAACATTATTTGTCAATAGGGAATGGCAAATCAAAACCACAATGTGATTCTCCATTCTATAACAAACTAGGATAGTTAAGCTATTTTAAAAATAATTATAAGAATGGGGATCCCCGGGTGGCGCAGCGGTTTGGCGCCTGCCTTTGGCCCGGGGCGCGATCCTGGAGACCCAGGATCGAATCCCATATCGGGCTCCTGGCTCCCGGTGCATGGAGCATGGAGCCTGTATGTCCCTGCCTCTCTCTCTCTCTCTCTCTCTCTCTCTCTCTGACTATCATAAATAAATAAATTTTAATAAAAAAATAAAAATAAAAATAATTATAAGAAGTAAAATAAATAACAAGTGTTGGCTAGGTCCCAGACCTCATCTAAGGATTTGCTAAATATCTGTCCTCCTGGCCTGTTCTTACCATGCTTAACATTGTGATTTGCCCTCTCTCCATTTATGGTCTCCCTCAGCTTACTCTGTATTTTCTCACAGTGCTTGCCACTTTTTAACAAACTCTATAATGTACTTTATAGACAGAGGGGGTAGGTGGAAAGGGGGGGGGAAGAGAGAGATTTTGTGATTAAATCTAGAATATGAGAAAAAAACATTTTTGTCTGTCTCATTTACTGATGTATACTAGGTGTCTCCAACATTGCTTAATATGTAATTTCTTAATAAATATGTGTTAAATTTATTTGCTCTGTTTTCTCTACCTCCTGTGATCATTTTTGACAGGGTTTTAAAATTTTATGTCTTTCCAAACCCTGTCTTATATCTATATTCTATTCCAATAATTTGCACTATTAGCTAATTAGTTTCTAATGGAAGTCTTTTATTTAGGATATAAATTTAGGATATTTATTTGGGACATAAATTTTTCTCTAAGCACTCACTTAGCTAAATCTCACAAGCTTTTTATGCATTGTTTTTATTATTATTTATTTAAAATATTTTCTAGTTTTATTGTAATTCTTTTGGAGGGGTGGGCATAGGTTATTAAAAGTGCGTTTCTCCTAACCTAATAGGTATTTTCCAGCTTTTGTTTTCTAATGGATTTCCAGCCTAATTAAAAATACATAATGTGTCACTTTAATCCATTTTAAATTATTGACATTTCCTTACTGTTTAATAATATAATATCTCTTTTTTGGTAAATATTCTATGTATGTTTCAAAAGAATAGATATCTGCAGATGGTAAATACAGGGTTACATTTGCCCATTACTTACTAATTATGTTGACTAAATATTTACCATCCTTACTAATCATGGTATAGAATTAAATTATTTTCAGTATGCCTGAGACATTCTTAATTGTGTATGAACAATAAATACGATAATTAGAATATATGGTGAAACAAAAAATATGGTTGCTTTCCAAAGAAGCCTGTATATCATTGGCAAAGATACGTTCAAATAGGATTTTAGAGTTATCAGACATACATATCATTTTCCTGTTGACTGTGCTTCATATTTTAGACATATTACTTATATAATAAAGCCAAAAATAATATTTTATTTTTTCTACCAGATTTTGTTTTCAGAGTCTATACCAATCTGTGGAAAATTAAAGCAGCAGGTATTTCCATTTTAGAAAAGATTATTTTCTCATTTTCTATCAGAGACAGTCCATTTCTTTAAAAGGAATTTTAAATTCGTTCTGTTATTCCTCCATGGTGTATTTCTACCTAATGATATTTCAGAAGGTTTTCTTAGAATCATGATATTAAATCAGTCTTTATTTAGAATTCTCAAAAAATCAAAGAACAAAAACCCCAAGCACTATGGAAGTTAAGGTTAAATTTTTTATTGATTGCCACTCAAATTTCTGAAATCAGTTGCTATGGTAATTTTTAAGATTTTTTCCCCCTTCCTATTCTTCTTGATCTATTTAGAGCATCAAAGTTTAAGAATATATACAGGATAATAAATTCATAGACCATATGTTAACAACTCTATAATTAAAACATTTAAAATTATAGAATGGGAACATAAGTAAATTTTTTAAAAATACATAATAAAAATAAGCAATGCTATTTAAAAAATCATACTCATGCATGTGAACCACTATCAAAATGTGGGTTTCTTTTTAAGGTCTAGTGTCATGTTGTTATTTGTTCTAACAAGCTGAAAAGTTGTGTTTTTTCTATATATCTGGAAGTAATTCAGCTTTCTTGCTTCAGTATTACTGATATGAGAAACCCCACTCAAAACTTAAGAGTGATTTGGTAATCAATTCACCAAAAAGCATGTTCTGGTGCAAATTTCCTTCCAAAATTTTAAGATTACTTTTACAATTTTTTCATACAAAAGAACCACCAGTATTATGCTAAGTGAAGTAAGTAAGAGCAAGACAAATACCACATGATTTATATGTGGAATCTAAAAAAAAAAAAAAACTAAACTAAACAAAACAAATGAATAAACAAACAAAAAGCAGAATCAAACCCATAAATACTGAGAAACTGATGGTTGCTGGAGTGTAAGGGGATGGAGGATGAGTAAAATGAAGAAGGGGAGTGGGAGACACAGGTTTGCCATAGGGAATAAATAAGTCATGGGGATGAAAAATACAGCATAGGGACTATAGTCAATGGTAATGTAATTGCATTGTATGGTGACAGATGGGAGCTACACTTGTGGTGAGCATAGCATTATGTACAGAGCTGCTGAATCATGATGTTGTACACCAGCAATTAATGTAACATTGTGTGTCAACTATCCTCCAGAAGAAGGAACTACTAAGACAGTAAGTTCCCATACATTACAGACTCTCTTACCACATCAGCATCCTTTCCTAAATACAGACAAAGCATTTCTAGAAATAGTTACAAACTTAGAACCTAAATACAAAGAGCTGCAGGAAAATTTAATCATAAATAAATCGACACTTTCAATACTGAAAAACTGCATTGAATTTTATCTGGGGAAATTTTATCAATTTTTACATAAAAATAAAATTCAATCATAATATCTGCTCTATTTGACTGATAACCTAATAGATTTGTGATACTGAAGTGAAAATGGCAATGAAGAAACTGCAAAATCATTTAATGTAGAAAGTAACTAAACATGCAGCAGAAAACATTTATAAGGTAAAGGTAGATATTAATTCAGAATTCAAGATCAGCCGAATATTTTTGCTTGGTTCACATGTGCTAATAACAGATACTGTAAAAAAAATCTGCAACTGAAGGGACAGTTACTGGATATAAATAGAATTTCTACATCTGTAACTTTTTTTTATATTTTAAGATTCATTTATACACAGAGGTGGTATAGTAGCTTCAACAAAGCAGGAAATCATAAAGTGCTTGTTTCTAGGACCAACTCTGAAAACATTAGTCTTAAGAACCACTTCTGTTGGCAGCTTCATCGCTATAATATACACCAAGAGTGTCTGTCCCCCTAACCCCACAGGGTTTCTGTGAAGATCAAGCAGACAGTAGTAGATTAGAGGACTTTGAAAGTTAAAAGTTCTATACAAATGAGAGCTCTTAATTTACTGAAGACATTCTTGATATTCCAGGCTTGGTTCAACAACAACAGCAGCTCAGACTAAAATATTCTTGCTCAGAAATTATTCCTGGTAAGTGGAATAATTTGTCAACCTTCATTTCAACAATCTGTATTCATCTCATTTGCCATGAAATGAGGTAATAACTGGACTGTGCTGCACAATTTACAGACTTACACAAACGAGCATATATGGCCCATTTAGCTAAGGATATTTTAATCGTGCTGTTTATTATGGGTTGATCCCCTGTAATAATATCACATATCAGCTGATATGTAGTTCCTTTAGAAGATGACCTTGTTTAATAGATTATCTAGGTATTTTTTAAATATTTATCACATCTCATAATTTACACAAAGGAATGATAACTCTCTAAAATGCACCAAGCATAGAAACCTATTAACCCTGCATGAATTGGCTATGGTGGATGTTTTGCTTGTCTTTTTTTCCAAAACTTTCTTTCATATGAAAAATACTTGTTTTCTTCTGTTTGTCTTTGAAGACACCTGTTTTCCAATTTATTGCCAATTATCTCACACACACCAAGACACCAAGTTTTAAATGAATTACAGTTCTAAAGTTAAGTAGTGAGAGAAAGAAAGAAATGTATTTAAATAGGTAAATTATCTTACCTGCCTTGGCTGCTGAGCTATACATACTTTGTATGCTTCAGCAATTAACACACCACATGCAGTGTAAGGTTGTAGGAAACAAAGGCAAAAGTAAGGAGATAGAAAACTTCCACTTACTGCAAATGAAAGCAGTCTCATCTGAATTATCAGCACAATCATTCACAAAATCACACAGCTTATCCTTCACAATGCAATGCTTGTTTGCACACATGAATTCTTGAGCAGTTCACTTTCTGTCTAAGTAGAGGGGAACAATCTTGAAAGGAAATATCATCCACTGCTACATCTCCCATGTAATTGGTACCACACTTTGCCCTAAAGACAATCTTTAAAAAAACAGAAGGAAAGAAAGAAAGAAATCCAATTTCAGTTGAAACATCCAAGAATTCAAAATTTGAGGCAAACATTAAATATATGGCATAAGGTTTGAATTTAATAAAAATATTCCCAAAATGAAATGACCCAAGATGTTTGAGGGTCATCCAACAGATGTGGGAGTGGCAACACCACTGCCTCTTGTCTAGATTTTTAGGGCAAGTGGCATAGAAAACCGGCAGGAGCCACCAACCTACCAATGCTGCGTCTGTAGCTCTCTCATCCAAAACAGTCCCACTTCACTACTTAGAGCCTCATCTACTATGGGAGGAAGGAGGCCAACGGGCTGACAGAGCATACTAAGAGGAAGAAGATGCAAGTACATCCTTTTTTTTTTTTTGGCCAATTTTTTTTTGCCACTCCTCAGGTCTGCCCACCCCAACCATGTGAAAGTGAAGATATTGAACCTCAATTCCATGAGGTATTTTTAATTACCCACATCTTTGGAGTTAAAATTATTTTAATTTCCCTTTAACTAAAGTATGTATGAACAATATTCTCCTACGTGTCCTGTTTTTCAGTGAAATCCCACTTACATGGACTCCAAAAAAATGATAAATAATTAAAAGTAATAACAAGAGTTGTTAAAATGTTTACAAATTTCATCTTCAATTTGTAACATTACCAATGCATGGAAGAACAAATAACACTGTTTTACAGAACACCAGAAGTCATAAATTGTTTAGCTTTAGATTTCTAAGTGAAATTAATTCAGAATGTTTCTATTAATTTTCTCCATGCCATCTGTATTTGTGCATTAACATAAGAAATATTTTTATTTAAATTCAATTAGCCAACACATATAGTACATCATTAGTTTCAGATGTAGTATTCCAATAATTCATCAGCTGTGTATAATACCCAGTGTTCATCACATCACGTGCCCTCCTTAATACATTTTAAATTAAATTTAGAAAAATTCAAAATGAGTTAACAAGGAATACAGATTTACTTCAGTGATTTTACACAAATATGTATTGTTCAAGCTCCCAAACACCTTTTGACCAAATCTAAACTTTTTTCTTGAAAGAATTACAATTTTTTCCTTAAGTTGTAGTATGCTTTTATGTGACTGTTTGAAAACCTATAAAACCTATGTGTTTTCCTTTTAAGATGAGATAATGGAATAATTGAAAATCATGCCTCTCAAATTATGAAAACCAAAACAAAAAATGCAATTTTTATGTAAATTAACATAGCAAATTTACATAAGTTGTTCTTCATAAGAGATATGCTGGTAAGACCAATAAATTTGATAGAGTGAGAGGTTGAAAGTCATTAGGAAGTAAAACTAGACAGAGTAAGGACTACAATGTTCTTATAAGGAAACACTGATAAACTGCAAAGGGTACTCTATTTCCTGGATGTATCTAAACATTTAAACACATGATACAATGTTCTGTGAAAAGTAAATTAGATAATAAGTATTTCCTTATTACTTTGTCTATGTGCAATCCTATAGATGTACTCTCAGGTACCTACCATGTCCAAACGATCAAATCATTGCTTATATCCCAACGCTCCATAAAATCTTGGTTACAATTCCATGGGCTTTAGTACTGAATGTGATTACACTATTTTTAAAAGTATAATTATATGTTTTTCAGTAGAATAAAAGCAGGACCAATTATTTTGGAAAATCTGAGAAACAATATGGCACAGTGTTTGGATTATGGACTTGTAGATGAACTGTCTAGGCCTAAAGTCCATCTATGCCATTTTGTAGTATGCAACGAGAGCAAGTTCCTTAATATACTGGTCTTTCTGTATTCTGATCTATAAAAGGGGGATAATTATCATATAATTACTATCAAAACTAAGGAGTAAGTATTTCAAATTCATAGAATAGTACTTAGCACTTACTAAGTTCGATGTACATGTCTGCTCTAGTCATGCAAAATAATTAAATACTCTGTTTGAGGGCTCCCAAATAAAAGTGAAAACTACTCAGTGCTGATTCCACATATAATTCCTAAAAATATGTTATGCTCAAGGGATAGAGGTATTCCTTTTTCTGAGGTAAAAGGGAATGATACTATGAAAATAGAAAAATCACAGACAGTATGCCTGGCTCATCAACTCTATCTCCAATACATAGTAATGAGCTTTGCACATAGTAGGTGTTTATTAAGTTTGTATTGAAGGAATGAGTGAATCACAAAAAATGTTAAATATTTACAAGCCATTAGTGTCTGATTTTAAGATTCAAATAAGAGTTCTCTTTACACAAATTTCAATATATGAAAAAGCAAATTTCAAAAAAAAGTAAATTTCAGAAAGGCTAAATTAACTAAGTAATTAATAATTGATTCCTCCTGCTGAAACTCCCCCTTAATGTTATTTTGAACATAATTTTACCATACAAATATTCTACTTGCACAGACATAGTTAAGAATTCACTGCCTGGGGTAGAAGCCTATGTCTGGTAGCAGGAAAACCTACTCGTTCTTGCTGAGGTTTCTTCTACCCTCAGTTAAAAGATCTCAGAGACTGAACAGATGGAATCGTGTTTATAATAAATTTCATATTGTTCAATTTGAAATTTCAGTCTAATAATTATATCTTCAGGGTGAACTTATTTCTTATCAATTTCCTAAATTATCTACAAATGACCCATAAGAAAACTGAACTCAAGTGAGAAGTCCAAAAACATATGGAATTTATTACAACTACTATTCCAAGAAATTAGGGACAATGATATATCAATATATTTTTTAAAGATTTTATTTATTCATGAGAGACACACAGGGAGGCAGAAACAGGCAGAGGGAGAAGCAGATTCCCCACAAGGGAGCCTCATGTGGGACTCGATCCCAGGACCCCGGGATCATGACCTGAGCCAAAGGCAGAGGCTCACCACTGAGCCACCCAGGTGCTCCATGTATTGATGTCTTTACACAGAGGGAGCTAGCCCGTGCTTCCACCGGAATTGAGAGGGGCTGATCTATCCAGCACATAACTATAGATAGTTACTGAATATTCACAGTAGAACTGGCTACTATTTCTGTATATACAGAGGACTGGAAATGCAATAATTAGTCAAGATATATCTTCTATCTAGAGATAAATGGTTCTAAATTCACGAAATTAGGCCCTGAGCAATTAAGACTAAGAAAATGTTCCCCAGTATAAATGGGTAACTGAATTCTGAATTCTCCTTCTCCTGATACAAATCTTAAAAATTTTAATCATTAACCCTCATTTTCCAAAAAAATGCCAAACACACACACACACACACACACACACACACACACACACACATCCATGAGTTATTTTCCTGATAATCCATAAAAAACAAAATCCATACCAATTACCTTGGCATGTAATTATCTTCAATTTAAGCATTTTAATCTATGTACTACTTCTTCTTATTTTAAATTGTTAGATACGTATAAGTCTTATCCTCCTAATATTATTGTAATATACACAAAGACAAATACAGCGGCACACAATTTGGTGCCTCCCCAAATATTTTTGAATTAGGTAAATCTCTTACCTCTAGTAAGGTTTAACCACATAATGTGCTTTTAAAAGTCTGTCTTTTAATTGGTTTTGAAATAAATTAACATAATTAATACACAGTCTCCAAGAATATGTCTGTAAAATCAAGGGAGGTGTTCTTTCTATGAGGGAGGCTGATTGTGAAGTGGAGCATGGTTGGCATTAAAATTACATATTCCTAGAATATGGTTGTCTAGTTGGGAGAAATTAGAACATCTAGAACTGAATTCCTTATGGAAATGCTCCATGGAGTGTTAGGCATTCATATAACACATCAGGAAGGGAATGGGAGGACCAGAAGACTATGAGTGAAGGAAATAAAGTAGGATTAGAGGGGAAAAAGCAACAAAACTCCCTCATCACCCAACTGGTTGGATTACAAACCTGTATATTTGATTGAACACCTAAAAACACTTCTACTTTCTTCCACCGCGCACCTTGCTGTCCTATTTGAGCCCACAATTTAGAAGTAACATTGTCTTTCTTGCTGAGTACCTATAGGGATAAATCAAGTAAGAGATGTTAAAATATTTGGTCTTGATAAATTTTAAACATTCAGAACTTGCCCAGTGATTTTTAAAAACATTTTATTTATTTTTTTAAAGATTTATTTATTTATTCATTCAGAGAGAGTGAGAGAGAGGCAGAGACACAGGCAGAGGGAGAAGCAGGCTCCATGCAGGAATCCTGACGTGGGACTGGATCCCAGGTCCCCAGGATCACACCCCTGGCTGCAGGCAGTGCTAAACGGCTGCGCCACCGGGGCTGTCCTTAAAAACATTTTAATATCTACATGAAGTCTCTTAGAGAAAAGTGGGGACAGTTTTCATGAGATACCTTTGTTTTCTATACAGCAGTGTATCTCCAGGATACCTCACAAGCTTTGTGTAATAAAGGTGTACTTGAGAATCTGCCACTCAAGTCCAACAGGTCTAGGCATCATTTAATTAACTCTTAACTACATTAGCTTAAAAAAATGACAGAAGTAATAACTGAAATTTTACATATTCAATAATATTGATGGAGTTGAATAGAAAGCACTTAATACTGCCTAAAACATTTTTCTGAGGATGACTTTCTTTCCTCATCCTTCTGGGTTCAGTGGAGACAATGGTATTACAATGGGAGCCCATTCAGTTTTAACAGCACTCCTGGGTGGTCTGAGTGGGCACTGACTCACACTGTGATAGTTAAGATGCTTCTACCAGAGAGCCTTGAAACCTCAAATTCTCAGTACTATAACCTTATTCTAAAGAGAAATTCTGATTAGTCACAGCAGACAAATTATTCTGGCTCTTCTTTTAGAATGCTACAAACTGAACCAACGAGAGGGTAACTGAAGAGAATAGGGAATAGCAGAACAATTCTACACTTTAAAGTAACTGACTTAGATGGCTTACTTAATTATTTCACAGCACTACATTTTAAAAATACAATGTGTACAACCCAAAGAATCGTTCTGGTAAAGGGTTCATGAAGGTTTTGACTTTGCAAAGTGAAGGTAACTATTAATGGTTTTATTATCTATTTTCAATTAAATTCAAAGAGCTATTTTATTGGAGCATAATTAACATTCAAACTATTAATTTTATAGAAGTAGAGTTTCTAGACCCTTTAGAATCCCTAGGTAATATGAAGCTAACAAAAATATCACCATGGTTTTAGTCTTTATAATTTAAGTTAAAATAACCTGCTTATATCAAAGTAAAAATATATATAATTTCTAAAAATATATAATTTCTAATATATTTCTAAATATATAACTTTTAAAAAGCATGGGAAATAGATCTTTGTATGAATACCATTCTACATATAAATGGCTAAGGAAAATGTGTTCATGCACAAAAATAAGGATCACATACATTACCATTTTAAGTATTTGACAAATAATTACTTATAACATTTCAATAATATTTTCTAATTTTTTACCCAGTAATACAAAATTGTACCTGAAAAAAGAATTAATCTTAACTACAAAATGTGCCAGTTAAATAATTCTCTTTTTCTGATGAAAATCCTATAGTAAGCTGTATTGAATATTTGCCAAAAAAAGCCAATGCAAAACAAATGATAAACTATAACTTTAATCCATAAGACTATTGGATGTTTTTAGATTATCAAACATGCACACATACTTATAATACAAATGTACTTTTAAATCACTATTGGTAAGGAGTCTCACAATAAAGAAGATAATTTCCTAAAACTAATAAGTGAATTTAATATATTTCCAAGTTAAAAAAAAACAGCATTTGGGAACTATGTTTATCTATAACTTGTTTGTAAAAATAAATATTTAATAGAGCCAGGAAAAAACTTAGAATAAGACAGTAATAAAATGAGGAGACAAAGCACATAATAATAAAATTATAATCAAGGTACAGGGGAAAAAGTGATTGAGCAGCTGGCCTGCAATCTGTTTCTCTTTTTTTTGGGGGGGGGGGGCGGGTAGGTGACCTACCTGTAATCTCTTTGCAAATATGCTTTATGTAGACATCTTCGCTAATAAATTAATGGCGTTTGATAAGGGGGGAGAACCCTTTGCTATGCCTGCATTTAGCAAGATATTCCTGGTCTGAAACTTCTCATGGGAAACAACTGTAGAATTTTGGGATTGATCTTTCAGACATGGCTTCCTGGAAAATGCTACATAGGGTATGAAATAGTACAAATGGAGATTTTTGACAACTGAGCTGGCTTGTTCTGTGTAAATGATGCATCTATACATATTACTTAAAACCCCATATATTATATAAGGCACTTCCAATATGAGAGAACAGGATCTAGGGACCTGTACTGAGACTCTAGAACCTCTCTCTGTTTTACCTGTATAACTTGTTCTTCTAAAAGAAACCAGGAACCCTGGATAAAGTTAACTCCAGGGATAACACAAGATAAAAATGAATCTGGGACATCTTGGATAGAAAGCAAGAAAAGGCTCAAAAATTGATGGGATTGTTAAAGAGACAGAAGTCAGCTTAAAGGGTCTCCTATGAGCAAATCTGGGGCAATTTAAGACACAATTAACTAATAATAATTATAATTGACAATAAAAAGTTGAATACAAAAAGGATCCATGAACCCACACTGATGTAAATCAATAAATGGAGAGGTAATTTTGTTGGTGGTGGCAATGCTATTTTTTATAACAGAAAACCAATCAACAAATGTAAACAGAATAATTGAGTTTGAAATAACAATTAAGCTATCATCATAGTAAAATTCATTCCAGTGAAAAATACTAAAGGAAACAAAAACTAGCAAGTAAAATTGACTTGAGAACAGGATTTTATATACTATCAAAATATCTCTTCACAAAATATTTATTGATAACAAATGGAATAAAAGTAATAAGACCTATAGATATCATATACCACCATGGGATGCAGTAAAAGGAACAGAATATTGGTGCTATTACAACACCAATGTATGTATGTATACATATATATGTGTATATATATGTATAATATATGTGTTTATAGAAAATGTATATGTGTGTGTTCAAAACTGAGTGGATTCTACATACTGGTTTAGATGGTAATATTTTAAAATATCAAAATCATAAATATCTAGAGAAGATTAAGGAATTAGTCCAGTTTTAAAGACACCAGAAAGAAATGAGTAGGTATGATACATGATCCTATATGGAATATTTTCTATAAAAGATGGTACCGGGACAATGGGCAAAAAAATAGGAACTCTGACTGAATGTTATATCAGAGTTTGTGAGATTCTTGGAACAATTTGAAATAGTTTAAACAATAATTCCGAAATAGTTTATTGTTTTTAAACAAAGAAACAATTTTCAAAAGACAACTGGAAAATGTAGCAGCAGTCCCATCAACAGGAAGAATGGACCTTCAAAGGTCACCAAAGTATGTGTGATCCATTTGAACATGGACACTAAAACCTACATGAAACATCTCAAGTATAAAACTGCACTACACAAAAGCTGTAACCTCAGAATAAACCTACTAACCATAAAGTGATTAGTAAAAATATTCCACTGGCCATTCAAACCCAATTCTGCTAAAGCTGTTTTTTCAATCATACCATATTGAAACTAGTTAGGTGTTGATAATTACCCATTCTCATCTATTAGCAGACTACATTTTAATAACACTAAATTGAACAATATGAATTTTATAGGGAAAATGTAGAAAGTGCAATTGCCTAAGTAGTACCTGGAGAGAACCAACTGTAACACCATTCTCTGAGTCCAGAACACCAAGGTACATTTTGGTCCCATGCGTGAAATAACAGGAGTCAGTATATCAGCCATGTCACCAAATTTTCCATTTGAACTATCAGCATACAGGTACCAGCCATCTGTGGTATTTCTGGGGAAAGTACAAAGTATTTGTCAGATTAAAAAGAGAAGAAGATCATAACACATATAGTTCAACACTGACCATATTTTATTGTTCCATAGGTTTTCCTAAAAGCATAATGATGTTTTACAGCATAATGATGACTCAGAATCTTCAGCAGAAATAACTATTCTCCTGCCTCTTTTCCCTAGCCAGGAGGATGCCACAGTCTGTTCGCTCAAGACTGGCTCCATGTGACCCATTTCTGGAGACTGGGAAATAAGGTCGCAGTCCTTAGCCTCATGTCATCCCAGGGGCATTGGGACAGGAGAGTGGGAATCCTTTCCTTCCACCCAGACATGGTTTGATTCCCATGCCTTTCTGAGGGAGTGTATTCAATTTTTACTTAAGGGATATCTTATCTGCAGCTAGAGGAGAAATGTGCCCAACACTGGTGGAGATGTGACTCTCAACAGGGCCCTGTTCTCCTTCATGGCACTGCCAGCAGTGGTCCCAGAGCAAATGACAGCAGAAATGGCAGGGGCATCTGCCCTACATTCCCTCTGCTGTCTGACCCTGTGGTACTAAGACCACTCACTACCTTCCTCAAAGCCTTCTTGCCCCTGGACATTCCCTGCCTCTATCATTTCCTTCTTTTAGAATTCTCAGCTCCTTGATGTATCAGCTATCTCCTAGAAAACCGGTGTTTGGAGCAATAAGATTATTTTTGCTTGAGTCTTTTTTCTAAGAAAAGATAAAGAGCTAGCACTGTGGGAATCTTTTTTATGCTGTTATGGTTTACCTTTTTAGAAAACAGTACTTAATAGGATGAATGTCTGACTGTCAGAATCAGAGTACCTTTTGGAAACTTGGAAGAGGAGTTCCTCCTCTACTCCCTAAGGAGAGGACCTCTAACTCTCTGCCCTCACCTTGCTCCATGCTGCCTGGGCTTCCATCCCACCTGTCATGGACACCACTCACTTTTAATCCTGCTTGTACTGTCACCCCCCACATATCTGGGGGGCGCTGGTAGCTCTTGGGTTTGTTGCTCTCCACTGATCCTTTCCCCTTCCTTGGTCTGGTGGTCCTCAGACAGGTACTACTGGAGTCACCTAGGAACTAGCAACATGACAACAGCCAAGTTTGGGGCCAGTGCCTCGGCCATCCTCCCAAAACAGGCTGAGATGTAACCTTTGAGATGCTAGGCCCATCTCTGATCCTGCCTGCTAGTCTTGAAGGACGGGATTCTGTCTATAGAGATGTCTTCAGAGGGCAGACCAGGAGTGGGACATGAGGGTTGGCTAATGTAAGCTTCCATAGCCACCATCAAGAGGTGGATCCACTGCCACTGGTTGCCCAGATTCCCCACTTATTTTTCTAATAGAGGCCATAGGAGGAAAGGAGTTTACTTAAGAACATTTTAAAGAAATCTTTCATGCCCTAGGGACCTCTTTATCAGAGCACAAGAGTAGGTTGCAATGATTTAACATTTGTTTGGGGTCAACTCAGGTGTGAGGGAGGTTTGAACCCAGGCCTGAAGTTAGTTTCAAATAATAAATAATAAAACAATTTTTCATTTTTTTTTTTTGCACAGAAGCTGGTAACCTAGGACCTATGTGTAAAGAGCTTTATATGAATATTTTTTGTAGTTGGCTTTCTTGGGTTGGTAAACATTCTATTTAAGTTCCTTGAACATTATGGATTCCCCTAATGTGTATGAATGACTGAGGCTTTGTACATTCAGGGACATTTCTGTGAAAGAAGTTATTTGATGGGGTCAAAGAAGCGAAGGGGAAAAAAAGAAACAAAACAAGTACTCTACCATTTTGGTTTTAAATCCATGTATCAGCTGGTACAATGTGCACATATTATGGTAAAGCCTGAAATTACCAGGTCTAATCTGTAATAACTTAATCGTGTGCTTTTTTTTTTTTTTTTTACAATAATGTGGTCACCTTTAGACAGCTTATTTTTTTAACATTTTTAATTGACATATAATTGACAACAATGTTATGAGTTTCAGATATACTACATATTGATTCAACAATTCTATACATTACTCAGTGCTCACCACAGAAAGTGTAGTCACCATCTGCGATCACATATTATTACATTACTGACATTATTCCCTATGCTGAACTTTTTGCCTTTGTGACTTAATTACTTTATAAGTGGAAGTTCAGAGTATGTATCGCTTAATTTATTTCCCCAATCCCCTTATCCACTTCCCCTCAGGAAATCACCAGTTTGTTCTCTGTATTTGAGTCTCTTAAAAAAAAAAGAGTCTATTTTTTTCTGTGCATTCGCTTTGTTTTTCAGATTCTACATGTGAGTAAAATCATATTTTCATGTATGTAAAATGGACTCTTAAGAACCAAATAGTTTTAGAGTCACATAAAGAAGAAAAAAATATGTATAAAAAATTAAAGCATGTAAAATAGAAAGGAAACTGGTCTGAGGTTCTACTTACAGGTCTAAAAGGCTTTCAAGGTTCAAGTCTAGTCTCTGTTAAATATATGTCAGCTTAATTTAAATATATTTTAATAAGTTGGTAGATAATTTTTTAAAGTGTGTCTTTTTCCTCCTTACCTTCAAATCAAAGAGGAAAACACAGGATGAAAACAATTAAATATCAGCATAATCTTGCTATAAAAGAGTTTATGCTCCTACTTTAAATATCAATTCAAAAAAGAAATAATAAAACATTAAAGACATCTGGGTAACACATAGTTGTTTTGAAGTACTAAATGAAGAGGAGATTCTTCACAGTTTGGGCATTCTGGCCCACTTTGATTCATTAGACTTCTTACCACTTTCCCACCTAAATATTATGCTAGAATGTAACTTTGCTATTTATTAAAACCATTTTTATTTTGAAAATTTTATCATTTTTCTTGAGGAAATAATTATGAGTCAATAGCAAATGGATAGAGAAAAAGACTAAGTATGCATTCAGTCCCCACATATTTATTGTCATTCTTTGCAGTCTTGCCTGCCCCATGCCCTGGAAATACGATTGTGAGCAAAGCATCCAATAGAGTTTGTCCTCTGGCCTCACCATTTACTAGGTGGACAACATTAGGCAGCTTAGTTAATCTCTCTGAACATATTCATTTCTTCATTTATGAAATGGTCCATAGAAGGTCTCATTAAGAATTAGAAGTAAAATAAAGGAACATCTAAAATGGTACTTGGCCCATCCTATATATTTAATAAATGTTAGTTGTGATTTGTGTTTATGTTTATGTCATTAGTTGCTGCTAATAGAACAGAGTTTAGTGTCCCACAAACCATAGAGTGTATGAATTAAGATCATTTGTAAGAAGCAGGATTATTATATTAATTTAAATTATGTCTCAATAAGTAAGCACTTCCAGCTTCGTTCCTTGCATGCTAATATCCCAGGATCCTAACAGAAGTGGATATATAATTGATTTACTGATTTATAGATTCACTGAGATCTGGCTCAATTTCCACATATATTCTTTCCTAGACTGACAAACAGACTCTAAGCTTCACATGAAAATCTAAAGGAATAAGAAGAGCCAGATCGCTAATGTAAAGGAGAACAAAGAGAATCTATTCTAACATATCTATTCATTATAAAGGTGGAATAATCAAGATAGAGTGGTACTAGACAGGCAAACAGGCCAGGGAAAAAGATGGAACAGTCCTGAAACCAATTTACACACTTGTACACATGATTTATGAAAAGTTTGGTTCTTCAGAGCAATGACGGAAAAGACAATCCTTTTAATGTATACTGAATAAATTAGATAGCAATGTGTGAGGGGGGAGGGATCAAAAAAATAACACTTAGCCGTATTTCACAGCTTTTAAAAAATTATAAATTCCAGGCAGGTTGTACCTGGACTGTAGAAGGTAAAACAATAAAGTTTCTTCTCTACAATAAGGAAATAATATCTTCATGATGTGGAATTAAGAAAGTTTTAATGATATGTAAAAATTACTAACCATAAGGGGAAATATTGAAAAATGGACTGTATTCAAATTAAGGAGTTCTGTTTATTAAAGATACCAAAACAATGATCAAAATCATCACTGAGTCATGATTAGTGAATGGGAGGAAAATATGTATCACGTTTAATCAAAATACCATTTATTGACTGCTTACTATGTACCACGCACTATGCCAGACATTCAACAGTATGTGGGTATTTGTGTGGTTGTGTGTGTAGGGCCCATGCCTATTTTGTTTCCAATGCAGTACCTGGTTCATAAATCCTCAAAAACTACTTGACAAACAAAATAAAGGAGTTTGTGGGAATGTGAACTGGTGCAGCCACTCTGGAAAACTGTGTGGAGGTTCCTCAAAGAGTTAAAAATAGACCTGCCCTACGACCCAGCAATTGCACTGTTAGGGATTTACCCCGAAGATTCAGATGCAATGAAACGCCGGGGCACCTGCACCCCGATGTTTCTAGCAGCCATGTCCACAATAGCCAAACTGTGGAAGGAGCCTCGGTGCCCATCGAAAGATGAATGGATAAAGAAGATGTGGTTTATGTATACAATGGAATATTACTCAGTCATTAGAAACGACAAATACCCACCATTTGCTTCAACGTGGATGGAACTGGAGGGTATTATGCTGAGTGAAGTAAGTCAATCGGAGAAGGACAAACAGTGTATGTTCTCACTCATTTGGGGAATATGAATAATAGTGAAGGGGAATATAAGGGAAGGGAGAAGAAATGTGTGGGAGATATCAGAAAGGGACACAGAACATAAAGACTTCTAACTCTGGGAAATGAACTAGGGGTGGTGGAAGGGGAGGAGGGCGGGGGGTGGGGGTGAATGGGTGACGGGCACGGAGGGGGACACTTGACGGGATAAGCACTGGGTGTTATTCTGTATGTTGGTAAATTGAACAACAATAAAAATTAATTTATAAAAAAAAAAAAAACTCTCAATTCCCTAGCATATCACTTAATACATTGTGTTATAATTTGAAGTCCTCTACAAGATAATTGAAAAGCCACTTAGGGCAAGGTTCGTATAATCTTGTT